TTTTCCAACGAATTTCGAGGCGGAACAAACTCGGAAACCTTAAAAAACCAATTTGAGAAAGATTTTTTGTGTCTTCGCTGATGGAAGCTCGATGCGGAAATTAATTGCATTTTGAATTCGAGATAAGCCGGAACGTTCGACATCGCGAACAGAATCAATACAAACTAGCCAGCCCGAAAGCAATTGCATGCATTTATACGCATTGTGTACCTTTCGGCGAATTCCTAGCTTATTTATCTTGGAACGAATCCATCCGAAGGAGAATTTCCGGAACTAACAAATCGAAAATTGCACGCCACGTAAATAGACTGATTAAGAACGAGCAAGAATAATAAAGACTTAATTAGACTTTTTACAGGCGAAGCGTGGGCGAGTAGGTAGAACCAATCCGCTTCAACGCTGCGGTAGTAATTAAAATTCCCGCTCGAATGCTTCGTGTGCTTTTTTTTCCTAAAACTTTCGCGCCTCCGTTTTCCAAACGACCATCACGTCGACGATGAATCGGGTGGCTGGTGACGCGGAACGGTTCGTTAAAATTTCATTAAAATAAATGAAATTATACAGAGAAAATTTTCCGGTGTCTCGTCCGAATAGAAGTATCAACTTTGCTTTTAAAATCGTTCGAGGGTCTTGAAGGGAAAATTAACAACATAGTACTCGCAATATCGAGTCCCGACAATGTCCAGCATGTCGTCGCGTCCTTCATATTCTCTGCGCCAGGACAAGCGATGTATTATCAATAGCTTCGCCTATACGGGACAATGAAGCGCATTAAGTGCATTATAACGCAAAATTTACAGCTTCCGGTCACGCAAATTTATCTTCGAGCTTAAAACGTTGGTCGTAAAACGGTGGAGGATTTGCGGTTTTGCCCCACGCGGATCGATCGGTTTAATGGAATCGTCGAAACACTGGAGACAATCGCTAATTAATCACCGGACACTGATATCCGAACGAAACAACGTTGCGCGTCCTAAACGTCCTGGGCGTCGCGACGCCATTGTCCACTTGTCAATTGTTATCCATTATTCTCTTCCGAGACTTCGTGCACGATCAATGGGACTCGTGACATCTGTAAATGCTGGACTCTACAAACTAAGGACGTCGAATTAATTGGAAACAAAATCGGAAGGTTATAAAAATGTTACGTGAAATCGATTTTCGTGTTCGATGAAACGTACAGGTTGACCTAAATAGCGCTCTCAGGAGATTATTCCTAAATTGCGTACACACTGATTCGTGCGAGCTAATCCATAATCCAGTGCGAATCCTAACGATCTTACGGAAACGTGGGGCGATAGTGCTCCTCGGCGTAAGGTCGGTGAAATAATATAAGGTCGACTGGCCGCGTTCCCTTCGGCTCTAATTATAGCCGCTGCACACGCTGGCTATAAACGGTGATTACGTGCGTATCGCGAACAGCCTTACAATCGACCGGAAGTGTCGCTTTACCTTGGCCTTTCCCTTTGGGTTATCCCGTGGGATCTCCATTTAATTCCAACAAAAGTATTCTCGCTTTTGAGAGGCAACTACAATTTCGTGTCGCATCTTTTTGACTCGAAAATTAAGAATTTCGGGAAACGTTTAAAAGCGGAACAAAAGATTATACTTGATAATAGTTGAAACTCGTTGCAAATGTACGCGTAATTATGAAAAGGTCCATGTTTGCCGAGCTTCAGAATTCCAGCGTGCACTGACCATCCATGCTACGGCAACGGTCGTTCCGGTCCTTTTGGATCCGCTTCGTAGCCCGCATACTAGCGTTATAACCGGTATTAATAATTCCGGGGCGAACAAAGTAGAAGGAGCGACGAAAAATAGTGCATGCCCGTTTCTCAGCATGAAGGAAGCGCGTTTTACGTCTTCCAGCCGGTGCTTTATTTTAACCGTTGTAACCGAAGCCCTTCCAGCTCCCCAGCCAGGTTAAATGAGCCATAACTCTGTTGCGTGTTGCTCGGTAACGCGTCTCCCTTGTCAAGAGGGGATTCGCGTTGACGCGCTTTCTACGATAAATAGACCCGCGCCAATTTGCTCGAGGTGCCACTTTCCTCTCGGTTAATTAATCATGCATCGGCGAAGAAACAGCTGATCGTTTCAGAAACACGTAAAACATTGTGTTCCGTAAATCGAGACTTCTCGGAGTCAGACGCGCTGCGAATTCTGAATATTTCAGACTATAAGCAACGAGTACAACTGTGGCACAGCGTGTCGGATAACGAGGCTGGCTCAAAGCGGACGCAAGATTGTGACTAGCACGTAGCTCTTAAATTACTTCGCCCTGAATACTTCATTGACATTTTGGCCAGGACTCAACTTTGGACAAAAGCGCGTTACTATGCATATTCGGACCGAACTGGGATTTGGACTGTAGCTGTCTTGTAATTAACGATGCGACGCGTCGTTGTAACATCAGTAACGTGCGCAAATCCCCGGGCTAAGTCCCCTTGATAAAAGACAGTACCGTGAAATGCGAGGTAGTTTTATATACATGAAATGTACGCCAATTCGGATTAAACATAAATCAACGACGTTTAACTTCGATTCCCCAAATGAGATCCCTTATCAGAAAACACTTTGTACACCCTACTTCTCAGCATCGTTCGAGCACGACAAATGATTTGAACGTGGATCGTAAAAGGGTTCTAAGATATTAGGGAATCATGGATTCTACGGGGCAGTAAAACGGAGATACGAGAGAAAAAGGTTAATTGGACGATTTCGTGAAATTTCAACGACATTTTCTCCGCGAAGTATACTTTTTACGAATTAAAACGAGACGGTTTGAAATGTTTACCTTGGCTATCTTTGAGCGTGCAGATTCCCGTCTATTTTCGTTTCCTGTAATCCTGTAATATTCCTTTGACCAGAAAGCGTAAGAACAATTTTTCGAGAATCGCAAAATGGCAAAGGATTCGATTCGTTTTCGGGCAGAAGCTTTCGAAACCGTCTGTATCGATACTTTTGCTTTCTTCTTTGCTACATATCCTCTAGTGGTGATCGTTTCCTTTGAGGATTCGAAGTGACCGCGTTTCCAATGTTTAATACCATCCCAGAGGAAACGGGAGGCATGCATTTCGAGGCAATCCGCAGAATAAAAGTAACAGACACATCGATCGGTTGCAACGTTGACAAACGCGTCCCTCGGGTCTTCAGCTGCCATTTCTTCGCCGATATTTGCTCTTCTTTGAACCGCTCGATTTCATTACGCGTTTATGATTAAAAGGAAACCCTGTAATTCCAATGGACTCTTTGCAGCGGCCGCGATTCTAATTGTTTCAAACCTGCTGCCTCCTTTGTGCTCATTCTTGTTGGCGTGCTGTTACACGAATTTTACGCAAGGGTGCGTGCGCGGTTTCCGGAATAAAAATTCTTTCTTCTTTTCATTTCTTTCTGCCTCGCGTGTGTTTTTCCCCCGTAACGATAACATCGTGCCGCTCGTTAAAGAAAGAAAACAATGAAAATAGGTAGAAAACGTTGGTATTAAATCGCCGCATTTAACGGTATTCGAAATATCTCTTCCTCTCGCGAAAATGTAGGTCATAATGCGTTCAATAGGTAGCACAATGGGGCAACTTAAACCGATATTTCAAAAGCAACGTTTCGAACAAGCTGGTCGAAAAAGCTTGGTAAGAAACGGGGAAAACAATAACGAAAGACTTGCATTACTTTTTCCGAAATTTTCCCCCGGTTTTTCCAAGCGACACGTCATGAATCCTAAATAAAAAAGTGGTGGGAACAACGCGGTGCACGTGTTGCGCATTTCCGCGAGATTACAGCTTCATAAAATATCGATGGGTTGGTCTCAGGTTGCTCTCGAGTTCCGTACGAGCAAAATAACTATGCGGCAGCTGGATCGATACGACGTTAAACTACGGCCAACGCAACTTAATACTATCCTGTAATACGTTTTACCAGTGATCACGATGCATACTGCTGGATATGATCGATAATGGCGAGACTCTGATTTAAACCGGGACACCGTACGTGCAATTGAAACCTTCGTCTTTCACCGTTTGATCTATGCCCGTACGTGCACGAATCGCCACCATTGCTCATTCAAGGGTATTTCATACGTGATCGAACCATTGGATCCAATTTCGCTGGAAAATTTAATCCTCTCGTATATCCCTAAATTTTTTAATCCCAGCATTTGCAATGTTCCGAAAGCGGGAGAAAGAAGCGGAGCAATAATCTCGAACGTTGATCGAACGGCGGCGATTCCGTCGAATTACGGTTTGACCAGAGAAATGGCTCGACGGAAAATGCTTGCGGTTTCTGCGAACGGCACGAAGGAAATAGAGCTCTTTGAAAGCCATTGCCTTAACGGAAGACGGAGACAATCGTGACCACGTAGTAGATAGGCGCGTTTCGGTCGCGTCCGATTCCGTACTCCTGGCACGGATGTTCCGAATAAATCAAGGAACCGAAAGCTGCGCATCCGAGAATAAAGAGGAAGATGCGCCGGTTCAAAAGCAGAAACACCGAGTATAACGAAAAGTGCAGGGGAACAGAGATAAAGCTCATCTCTTGATACGACCAAAGCATCTTTTGATTCGAGATGCTCTTACCTCGAATGCCTTTTTCCCGAGCGACGATTCGAGCACACTTCTGGTATCTTTACTCTCCGGCGAAAATAAGAGAAACAATGGAAACATCTTGGGTTGCTTAAACGGAATTAATTTATGCTCGTCACAAACGGATTTCGCTTCCAAAATGTTCCAAACGAAGGTTTATTTTAAAATTCCACCCAAAATGTTTTCCGTGTCGTTACAACGGCGTATTATGATTTTCCCGTTCACAAAGGCGTGGACGCGCCATCAATTACCGCGATATTCGCGCGCAATTTGCTCGTGTTTTTGGTCGTTTACGCGAAACGTTCGGAGAATCACCGATCGCTAATTTGCATCGGAACAATAGCCGGACCGTACCAATGACAGTTAATTCCGCCGACACGATACGCGCTGGATTTAATCTTCATGGTTTGTTCGTTCGTTTTACAGGTAAACGGATCATGGAGTCTGCCCGGATTCGTTTGTGACTTTTACATCGCGATGGACGTGACATGCAGCACAAGCTCCATCTTCAACCTAGTAGCGATTTCGATAGACAGGTGAGCCTTCTTCGCAAATAACTCCCCTTACACTCCACACTCCAATCTTTCTTTACTCATCCCTTAACCCTCCTATCGATTGTTCTACTGATAAAAACTTCGGTGATACTGGTAATTCGCGTATACGAGGTACACTGGGGAGTTTCTTTGGATAAGGGAGCATTATTTGTCTTTCTTGAAGGAAGTACATAATGTTGCAAAATTGGATAGTTACATTTTTAATATATATTTTTATAACTGTTTCAAAACATGTACTGAGTAGTCACATATAAAGTTGCAGAAGTGTAACATATATGAAATATATACTACTCTGAATTGTATCATTATATAAATCTATTAAAGAAAATCTTTCAATAAAAATAAAAACAACTTCAAATGATTGAGCAACAGAACGTAAACATTCTAATATTGAATAAATTTGATGATCAGCTTGCTAATGAAATATGCATTTAAGGGTTGAGTTCTTTGAACTTAAACTACAAAATGCATTTGACATGTGGAGGTTCTGTTTCTAAATTATAAAATTTGTACAGGTTCGAAATTCGTCGTCAATTTTCCACGTCCCTAAATTTCGACTGCGAATTCCCATATCTCCAAAGTGCTATACCCCTAAATTTCTGCATCCCAAGTTCTCGCATCTCCAAATATTTACATCCCCAAATTCTCAAATTTCCAGCTTGAAAAATTCAGCGAAGACGAACGAGCCGTGGGACCTCTTCCCCTGACTCTGTCTCGAAATCAAATATATCTCGCCCACGTTGCATCCGTTTTATTCGGTCGCGACAAGATTTCGTAACAGCGATCGTGGGCAAAAGGAAAAAGTTCCGAAAATCGCGGGGAAGGTAGCTGATTTAACCGGCTTACGTGACAAGAATAACAGGAAGGGTGAAAAAGTAAAAGGCTGAGGTTGCTTTTGCGAGCGGAATGAGTTAAAGTCGAAAGAGCAATTTCTTTCAATCAAACGCCTCGATCTAAATGTGTATCGGTTAAAGAAACGATTGTTTCCGTGCTCTAAAAAATTCAACGGAATAACAGTTTCGAAGAACGGAAACAAGCTCGATTCGCGATGCTGGAACTTTCGGAATTCATTTCGAGGTACTCTCGATGCCGAGCTGCGTTTTTCGCGTTTCAATTCCGCGTTTGCATTCTTCGAACGGTCGCCGAAAATACTATCGATGAAAACTTCGATAGCTCGCGGAAACGTTATACAGCAGCAAAGAAACTTTTGGATTACCTTTATCGATTAATTTTCGCCTGATGGACATTAAAGAGAAAACTTGGTGCAAGAATTTATTTCGAGGATAAAACTTTCGGTTAATCTGCCTGCATGTTAAAATATGCGTATCAAGATAAATGGCTCTATTAAACCACTCTTGACCGCGGTTTAAATCTGATTCTTTAACGAGCTCCTTTTCTTCCCCGCCAGAAATTCTCGGTATAATTCACGGGTCTAATTAATCAGCGTTACTTTCAACCGTTTGACCCCGGCTTTCCGGTCGCGTAAGCGGTTTCTGAAACGTTTTCAATTCGACGCGTCTCACGGCGTATGTATCAGCGGAAATAGAAATAAATTGGACAGCGGAAGGCCGCGGAGGGGAAACGGGTGGAAGGTGTTGGCGAGACCGCGTTGATTTGCGGCACCGTAATGCCCGTCAAGGTAGGGGACACTGTACGATACGATAGCGAAACGAATTTGAATTGCAGATACATAGCGGTGACCCAGCCGATAAAATACGCGAAGCACAAGAACAATAGAAGAGTGTGGTTAACGATACTGTTGGTCTGGGCGATATCGGCCGCGATCGGCAGCCCGATTGTTCTCGGCTTGAATAACACCCCCGACCGAATACCGGACCAATGCCTGTTCTACAATGCGGACTTTATCATCTACTCGAGCCTATCCAGCTTCTACATACCCTGCATCATCATGGTGTTTCTCTATTACAACATATTCAAGGTAAGAAATCCGCGATCATCCTCCATCTTGGAGCAGCCCGAGGTTACGTAACGTGCACGCTGAAAAGGAGTTGTAAATTTTTGAAACTGTTGCGAACCAATTTCTTTGCTCGCAGTCTTGTTTGAAGTTGGGTGTTATATAAATCGGACAAACCTTTTGCATAATTCTGACAGCAAATAAAGAACGTCTGTCTCCTTGCCTTTTGCGACGGAGAATATCTTACAGGGATTTACTTCCCTATGTCGATGCGAGAGATAATTGTTTTAATTTTTATGGAACCAAGTTAATCATGGATGAAGTAAAATTCGACAAATTATATAATTTTCGCAGCAGCTGGTACAAAGTGTTTTGCGGTTTCTACGTCGAGTAAATGCTTCGACGTTTTACGAGGGTCGGAAAGCATGGTCATTTTGTTTGCACCGGTGCTCCCATTATGGTGGTATTAATTGCCGATACCGAACGCCTCGAATTGAGCGACGTAATCGTTCGCGTGTAAACGCGATGACATAATGATCATCTCGTAAAGACATCCTAAATGAAAAGGTTGGAAGGAGACTGGCGATCGATGCAAGGCGATCGTTCGTACATTTTCACAGTTTTTACAGGCACTCTCGTAAAAGTATAATGCGATGGTTTAACGTCCAGAGAGGAAACGATATCCTTCGGAGCATCGATATAAAACGTGAAATATCTTTCTTTTATATTCCACGGTATCGGAGCAAGATACTGTTTCTCATAATGCATCAACGACGAAATTTTCTAACGCGTCAGGGGAGGGGACATTGGCGCAAAAACGTCGTAATAAATCCTTCTGTTTTGATACGTATAGATAATGGATGCCACGGAGATTTATTTCGTGATTTTTCGATACTCTGATTTATCTTGAAACGGCGATTTCAATTTTATTCCAGGCGCTACGGAACAGAGCGAAGAAAGCGAGGGCCAACAGGAAACCGAATCTGGGCGACATAAAACCGGGCAGCATAATCGAGAACATCGCGCACACGCGCAGGTGAGCCAACACCTTTTACTCGTCTCGTCGTGGAAATCGTTCGCGTTCTTACCTCGAATTTACCAAGAATTTTCTAGGAATATCCAATAAACCAGCGCCGGTTAAAGCAGCTGACGGCTTGAAATTCTTTGGCCGAATGTTTCGAATTGACGGTAGATTGCCTAGACGTTATTACGACGAGAAATTCGTTTGTTCGATCGACGACGGAGACTCAAAGCGGATACTTCGTTGAATAGATAAAATCGTGCGTAGGAAAAAGTCCTCGAAAGTAATTACTAAACTCGCGGTGAGAAAAATAATATCTATTGACACTGCACCGGCGTTTGAACGGTCGCGTTCTAGGCGATGAATCAATTTTCCATTTCCAGCGAGATCAAAAGAACGTTGTTTAAACTCGTTGAATTTATTCGCGATCCCGATCTCGCCAGTCAAAGACGAACGAGCTTCATCTCGAATGTGTCCCACGCCCGAGAATCGAGTCATTTTTTTCAATTTTCCCAGCACGTAACTCTTGCATTCCAACGAGACAATTTTTCACGAAGATTGTCGTGTCAGCGGGCGAGAATACGCTCGAAGGTATTGGCCACTGTTAACGCGCGTGTGCACAGTGGAACAACCAGTGGCTGGCGCGGCGCTATAGCACGGATTATCGTGGATGTTAAGGATATTACAAATTTTCCGTTGTTATGTACTTATTTCGTCGCTTGGAAAAGAGGATTTTGAAAGGGGCGTAGGAGGAAGGCGAAGTAAGCCTCCAGCATCTCCGAATAATACGCTTTTCTCGCGCTCTCCGGGCTTCATTTCCGTTGTCCGGGGTCGGTGTACTTGCCTTGAATAGCCAACTACTTCGTCTCGATTTAATTGCTGGCTTTTGTTCCCGTCTGTTTCTAAGCGTCGTGCGTTTGTTCATCGATGAGGACCCTGAAGAAGTCTTCCTTGACGGCCGACTCGAAGGCACGTAGTCTTGTTTGCCACTCCAAATGCTTTAATACCGACTTTGCCGTTTTTCCTCTGCGAAGGATCACGAATTCCACCCTCGTTGAATTTCAATTCATAAATTTTGAATTCTCGGCTACGATCGAATTAAATGTTTCGATCTTGCTTAATCTTTCATGCTAGTAGGGTAAGAGGTGTTTCGACGTTGCCTAATTATCATTTATAGCTTCCTTCCAGGTCCGTAGTTATGTACAAACACCGTCGATAAATTGGACTTAGGTGTTCCTGGCAACGGTCACATTTTGCCCATATCTTTTCCCTTGGGTCCTATGCGTTTAGCATAACCTCCTTTCCACGAATTTCCCTCGATATTCTCTCGACTTAAATGTGATTATCTCTAAGTAATTTCCGTGTCGTTCATTCAATTCTAGACAGTGATTACTCGTGTCCATTAATTAACAAATATCTCGATTAATCTTCGCGGACCGTGAAAGGAAAGTAAATAGGGATTTTCATAGAATTACATTTGTGGGAACTCGGTCGGAATTTCGGCAATCGGGGAATTATTAATTATTTTCTCCGGCTCTCGTCGGGAATATCGAATCGAGCGAAGTAACTTTAACGTCACTGAGTTGTAGGAGTTATCGCTTAAATTGGAACTACGAGTATCGGACGCATTCACCTATCCAATCTGTAATGTTGCTACTTCCCGATAATCCGATTACAGGGAATACGCGTCCGTTTGCGAACGTCCATATTATACCGATAATACGCCAATCAAATTTCCTGTACAATTTATATACACGTCCGCGAACGAAAATTACTCGACAACGTTAACCTGTAACGTATCGATGAAAGCTCGGATATGTTCGCAACTCATTACAAATCTGGTTCGACATGGAATTATTATCAAAACGTGACGTTTTACGCTCATAGAAATTTGAATAACAGATGCCCGTATTTACCGACCTGACTGAAAATGACAACTTCATTTTTGCTCTCCGACACGAAATTATTTAGAACATGGCGCTCGAGTCGGCCGATCACAATGGCAGGATTAAAAAACCTAATCTAACCGTATTTACCGATCTGGTTGAAAATGACAACTTCATTTTTGCTCCCCGACACGAAATTATTTGGAACATGGCGCTCAAGTCGGCCGATCACAATAGCAGGATTAAAAAACCTAATCTAACCGTATTTACCGATCTGGTTGAAAATGACAACTTCATTTTTGCTCCCCGACACGAAATTATTTCGAACATGGCGCTCGAGTCGGCCGATCACAACGGGAGAATTAAAAAACCTAACCTAACCGTATTTACCGACGTGACTGAAAATGACAACTCCATTTTTGCTCCTCGACACGAAATTATTTGGAACATGGCGCTCGAGTCACAATGGGAGGATTAAAAAACACGGGGTCATTACCTTCAGTTCCGTTTGAATGAAAACGCAGTTCAGTAAGGCACTCTGAATCGCCGGTATGAAGAGGCCGGTTCAACGAAGTAAAAAGCTTGGTTCTTTGTTCGTCGGGTGGCAAAGTTTCGAACGAAGTCGCGAGCGCCGGTTCATAGTCGCTTTGTGCATGATAGATTAACTTTTTCCCCTTTTGTCGGATTAACGCGCCGAGAAATACTAAAAGCATGCTAAGTGTAGAAGCTTTTTTTTAGAGGGCTTTTGACTAAGATCACGTAGTGGGTATTCTGTGGCAAGGTTTGCGGAGACCGCGCTGGGAGCGGCGGCACTCGTGGCTCCTGGTATGGAAGAACCGACGAACACGGCGTCCGGAAGCAACGAGGACGAGGACGAGACGCCCCTTGATCCCGTCGTGGTCATCTCGAACGACAAGAGCACGGAGTTCTTTTTAGCCACGGTCGTCGAGGAGGCAGCGTAAGAATCCAATAAAGTTTTTTCCTCGATCGTCACACGTCGGACGAACATTCTACGTTTTACGCCATCGTTTTGTTATGCCTTTTACGGATGCGACAAATGTACTAGAGACTTGATCAAATGGCTTTCTAGAGTCACCTTTGTCGTATCTCACAAAGGCGCTAATATGAGTGTCATTTCACGCCGTAAAAACTCGTTTTTACTCGGTTTCAGAATTAAGCTTTATTAAGTGTACTCGAAACGCATACGTAACAGTTTGTTTGTCCATTCGCTTCTTTGATGGCTTCATATCTATAAAGCCTTATTGCTCTCCTCCGCTCTTTATAAAAGTGCTTTGTAAACATGGACTCGTAAATGCTTTATTAAAAGGTTACAGAAACGTGTACTTGTTTCATTTCGATCGTACGATATTAAAGCAAAGATCGACGGAACCTAGTTCGTAAAAATATTCCAAGTTGGTCAAGCGGAAAAGTTTCGGTGCCCGCTATACATATCGCGTCTCAACATACTAAAGTAAAACTCCATTATTATTCCGTACTTTTGTTACGACTTCTTCATAAATATTTAGGTACCATTTTCAGCTTATTTCTGCTCGTTAAATATCGTTGGAAAGCCTGAGACAACTTGTATTCCGTAAGAACATTCCTAAAAGGAAAACGAAGTCGAAAAGTCAGATACTCTTTCCCCTAACTGAACGCGAGAACTTTCTTGAACGAGTTAGCGAAGCGGGGGAAAAAAGATGGACCACTGGAAGAAAAAGCAGAAGAGATAAAATCAATTAGCACCGGAGCCGCGATACGCGACGACTGAAAGACCGGTTTCAAATTAATTTTCAGTTAATTTCGGATCTATAGCTCCATCTTAATTGGTTAGATTCGCGAATTAAGATAACGTCTCTTATTTGCCTTCTTCTTTAGCTATCTTTTCTACGATCCCGCAAATCAGGGCTTATCTTTGATCGAATTAATTTGCTTCAAGAGCAATCAAGTTACTTATTGATGTAAGGTCGCGGAAGTTGGAGACAAGAAGGATTAAGAAGTTTAAAGAAAGGTTGAATTCGTCTCTTATGCCGCTAATTCATTGGCCCGAAGAACATGGCGGATAAAAATAGAAACGAACCGCCGATAAACTCGTTCCACCGTGAAATCGATTCGTTTGTTTGTCGACTAGTGGTCCAGTAAGTTGAATTGGTAACGCGGTATCGATTAAACGCGAAAGACTTCGATCGGCCTCTTCGATTCACGGTAACGGAACAACAGAGCAGAACAAGAAAAAACACGAACAATCTAGATCGCAGCGAAGTAAATAACGAATAGAGACAGGGACCTATTCTATTCTTCCATTTCGTCGATCGACGAACAATAGCGACACGAGTTGCGCGTAGCTGTTTTTATTGCCGCAAACGCTATATCGAGTTCTATGGACGGTATACTATCGAGTTACGCCAACGCCAATAGCACGCGTCGAATGACTTGAATCGCGAGTCCAAATACGAAATCGGTTACTAAAAATTAGTGCGTCTAGGGCTAATCTCGAAAGCCTACACGCGTCGGTAAACGGGTATCGATAGTCCTGTCCCGATAGACGAGTCGTGCGTGAACGCAACTAACGATTCGGGGATTCAAAGGGAATGCGGCTACAGCAAATAAAACACGATGAACGGACGTCGATGCGGAAAACTCGAATGTTCGTCCCTGTGATTGCTCGTCGAATGCGAAATGCCTCCGCACCGTCAGCGTCAGGAGCCATGACTGGAAACGCTAAAACAGCTCGCTGGAATGCTACTGATACTCGAATTGCAGTTGTCGTTTCAGCGCAGTGGCTCAAGCTCAGCTGGGCGGAACGCAACACGCCCGAAAGGATTCCGGGTACGAGGGTGCGGCGAGCACCACGTTGGTCCACGAACCGCTCGAAACGAATTCCAGCCCGAGTCCGAATCCGCGGATCGCGTCCGCCCCGTCGTCGTCCACGTCCTCGTCGCCGCCGCCGAAGAGCGCGATCGCGAGCCAAAGCTCGCAGTCGAAGAAGAACGGCGCTGATCCGAACAAGCAGGAGCTGAAGAGGCTCAAGAGCGCCAGCACCCTGCTTCCTCTTCAGCTCGCGAGAACCCCCAGCGTGTTGTCGGCCTCGTCCACGTGTAAGAAGGACAAGAAGAACGCGGCTGCTGGATCACGGTTCACGATATACAAGGCCAACAAAGCCAGCAAGAAGAAACGGGAGAAGAGCTCCGCGAAGAAGGAGCGAAAAGCTACCAAGACTCTGGCTATTGTTCTAGGTACGATATCCTCGCATAATTTCGATATCGATCGTGCCCAGGGAAAACAAGTTAATACCGTGTATTTGGGCGCGAGCCAATTCCTCGTATCTGGTGCATAAAAATCTCGTGAAGCTTTATCGGGTAATATAAATGTTAAATTGCAGGTGTCTTTTTAATCTGTTGGCTGCCGTTCTTCACGTGCAACATCATGGACGCCATCTGCACGAAGCTGGCAGCGAACTGTCAACCGGGTGTCACAGCCTTCATCATCACCTCTTGGCTAGGATACATGAACAGCTTCGTTAATCCTGTAATTTACACTGTGTTCAATCCCGAATTTCGTAAAGCCTTCCACAAGCTGGTTAGCTTCTAGATGGATCTCTCCGCTCGACGTCCCGTTTATCTCGAAAGGAAGAACACAACGAGGCATTGGACAATCGAATAGCTCAACGTTTAATCCGACAGAAGGTATTTACCGTGTATCCAGAGCTTTTTACGTAGTTTATTGTTCCTAAGGTCGGAATCGTTTCTACCGAATTGTTTTGCGATAACTTTCTTACCGAGTGTTCTTTTTCGAAAGGAAATTGGGTTACACGTTCGCACTTTGTTTGTCAGAAATCACCGTTAATATTCTCTTCGCACCTACTCGACCGTCGTCACTGTTCGAGTTTGATATCGAAGGCAGCGTGCATCGATGTTAGAGCCGAATTACCGAATAAATATTTAGACAAGTTAGTCGAGTAAGAAGCACGAATCCACCCACGGTGTTGGATCATTAGACGAAAGGAGTCGTAGGAAAGAAAAGTGGTAAAAACATCGGGTCGCATACAAGGTTGATGGAACGTGTATTTTTCACGAGCTAGTGAACGTTGTACCGTCTATGTATACTTCGTTGGATATTAAATATGCCGTGACAGTATTACCGTAGCTCGTAAGGTATAGCAATATTTTTTGGCTCCTGAACCGAAGCGCCAGCTGTTATCGCGATAAACTTGCACGTTCTTGCGCGATGCAGCGTGACTCGATGCATTTACGTTGACTGCAACGTGATTCATGAATCCAGCATTTTATCCTCGTTCCATTGTCATTCCATTTATGAACGATATCCCGATGGCACTTCGAAGAACGAGCTTCCAAAATTCGGGCTTTAAAACGCGAACCGTGCTAACCATTTGGAAACCCGTTCTTTGATTACGCTTAAAATCCTGTTTTCGCGAGGGCGGAACAAAAGCCTTCCTGTCGAGCGTGTTCGTTGCAATTTGCAGTTCAATTTCCTTCACTGTTCGAATTCTTTCGAATTTTCATCGATCGTTTCCGCGTCATGACACTCGGCTCGTATTTCTAATCAAGATTTACGTATTGTCCGGTGCATTTACCGTGGAACGTTCCCGTCGCTGAGAAAATCGATAAGGCATCCGTTTTCTGCCTCTCTTTCGGATACAAAAGCCCCGAGGAATTTCTCGTAAAGACAAATATCGCGAGCTCGAGACGCGTTCGACAGAGTGAATGCAAGACACCGGTCGATGCATCAGACACCTACATATCGGCCGTATCGTTCCACCCTCGTGAACACGACCATGAAGTTTCCCGCGACCGAATTTTCAAACATATCAATATAAATACGAGACACGATACCTGACTGCACGTTGGCATCCAGAGACCGTGTGCGCCTACAGGCGTACAGAATACTTCAAACTTGACCACGTTCTCTAAAACTTTCTGTTTCAACAGAAATATACATGAAATTTTAACCCTTTGCGCTCGAGAGGCGACTCTCAGTCACCATTTTATTTAATAAAATAATTTACAGTAAGCATTTTTTAAACGATGCATGAGATGTGTAAACACAATGAAACAAATATAATAACGTCAAAAGAATTCATTTAACTTTTTAAGTAAGTTTTAAAGTTGCTGTTTGCAAACAATGAAATTACCTTCGAGTGCAAAGGGTTCACTGCTAACTTCTTAACCTGCAATTTTCAAGGGTGTTTAATCTGAAGACAAATAAAATAGGCATGTTTCAAGCATCCTTGATTCTGAAGATCTCAAGTGTGATATTGTAGACCATGAGGTTAAAAGTTACCTTTGTAATTATAGATCCAAATGTTTATAAGACACCTTGCGTTTGGTTAAGTTTGAAGCGTTCTATGCACGTGTGTGTGCGTATGTGCGCGATCGCTAAAACAAAGTACACGAAAGGGACACGATCGCGTTGCAAACGTTAAACGTTGACGAGAAGAAGAAGAAGAGGTTCGCGTGACCCGCCGTTGCAATAACGTCTACAATCAAAGCTTTTTACTCTCTATGGGTTCTATGAACGCGCTGTATCACTTAAGCTTCCGATGTATATTTGTAAATAACGTAGGAACTAACGAATTGTTCGAGCTGTGGATCGCAAGCGACATTGCCGCTAAACAGATAAACAATTATTACGTATTAGGAGTATAGATGGTGTCGCTAAATGGCTAGACAGAAGAAATAGGGAGACTTTTCTTCGATAAATTGTGATAACGTTAGGTTTTCTATTCTTGGTTGTACCTGATTTCGAGATTAAATATCCCGATGATTTATGACCGTTTTAAATAGCTGGTAGTTCGACTCGTTTAACTTTCAAGCTTTTCTTCGTCGATGAAATCTCGCAGCGTGAACCGGCGGAAATTAAATCTGCATTCAGGCTGGCGGACATCGCAGGATCAAAGAACGACCCCGCTTTCGGTTTGCAAGAATCTCTTAATTCACTGGTAAGTTCGGTGGCCACGCGAATTCATTTCGTTACAGCGAAACCTTTGTCGACCTCCCGAACAACTTTACGCCCTTTCTTCAACGTCTTAAGAAACCTTTCTTCCCCGTTATTCGAACCGACGACATTTTAAACGCCATAGATCGCGCCGTTCCACCGCGTCGAGATAAGGGAACCTCGCCGAAGAGACTGTAGATTATTAATCGGCCAACTTCTACCGCTTTCCCGATCGTTAACAGCGACTTAATAGCGAAACTTGGAAGAATTTATCTTGCAGAACTTGAAAAAGGTCTACCGATTTACCTCTGCTTCTATGGGATCCTTTAACAAATTTTCTTCCTTGAAAAAACCGTTCTTTAAAATTATTTTCCAGCATTCCTTTATTTATCGAACACGATCCACTTTATAAAATGAGAATCCCTCTTTTAACACTCTCCGTAATGAACCTCCGATACGTTTCCTTTCGAAGGTTCGCTCGCTTCTGAAAAATGGAATTCATTTGCATCGCGTTACCGTCGAGCGAAAACCGGGCTTGCCTGTCTCTTCGCGGCTGCAAAAACGTTAAAAAAGGTTTCTACGATCCTGCGTGTAAGATCCTTGTATTTTTCTAACCCGCCACGTTCCCTTCTCTGTATATATTCGTGTGTATGTACGTGGTACGCGTGGCTGTGCGAGGTTACACGAGTAGGCGTTGTACATCTGTGTAAATATATTATATCTAGTCGACGAAAAACGCGAGCGTGTATACGAGTGTCTGCGATGGAGTTTCCGGGGATTCAAATGCGACCTCCAGTCGAGGAAACTTTCGAGAACGCGTAATTCTACGAGATGTTCCAAGGTGCAAACTGTACACGAAAAGAACAAAACGTTAGGTAAATAAAATGAAACGATTAAATGTCCATTGAAAAAGCGTGCGTGTGAGTGTGCGTGGCTTCGAATGAACTATGTTTTTCCTATGAATTTCTTAATTATTACTACGAATGGTCTATACAGGGCATAGATGTAAGACGAGTCTTTAATTTGCCGAAATTAAGGGTAATGAGTATCTAAAACGCTGTATGTACCGATGGCAATACCTATACATATTCACACGGACACTATCATTCACACGACAAATCAAACACACGACACTTGTTAAAATTAATAAAATATAGTATAAATTACGTGGTCCTTCAATTCCCTCCCACTGAAAGATCCAGGTAAGTTTAATTTGAGTAAAGATAATTCACTTCGGGTCAATATTGGATGCCGAAATGAACTGGAATCGGTAAATAAGAGGAAAGTGGATTGGAGAAGTGATACTTCTAATCAAGCTCTCAGTATTTCTTTAGTATTAGTCAGTATTTCTCTCTAACAAACTTTTATTTATATTACAAGTACAAATTAAATTACGCGCGCTAAACTAAATTTTATTAAGGCAGTCTTCGAGTTAATGTATAAGAAAAATCCTCTGAAGAATCGTCATTGTCCCATTACAAGAACTGATGGCCTAGTTGGAACTGTAACGGTAAGATTTGCATCGCAATATATTATAAATGTGCATAAACGACAGTGTTGGGTATCGAATTCCAATAAACATTTTGACACCAATTCGAAAGCAGAAAATCGATATGTTCGCGTTTACAAAAATACACGGTGTAATATATTCGGTTCAAATAACCTAAAATAGCAAACAATAGCACGTTTATTTTACTGCAGCACTCGCAGTTAGACAAACATTCATCGATGTTTGATGCCCGTTGTCATGCATATAGCAATCATAGTGCGTATGAAAACAATACATAGTCACATATCGAAAAAATCACTTTTTCGAAGGTGGTAAATTCAAAGGTTCCTCACGGACCACGAAAATGTGTGATATTCAGAAAATTCGAATCCGTCACCAGGAGACTCAACCGCGAGGAACGCGGACAATTAAAGCTAACCGAGCAGTAAAATTAACAGAATCGTTGAATGTAACAGGACGGTTGAAGCGTCCGTGGGAACTCCTTGCCATCTAGCTGGCAATTACTTCTGGAAAATTTACCTTGGAAAGCGTGGAAAGCTGCTGTCGTGGTAATTCCGGCAAACTTAAGCCCACTTTTGCGATCCCGAGCTCAAAGGGCCGTGGGGCAGGATTAGGCGAGCGTAAGGTGTAATCTATGCCACCGAAGCCGCCCAGCTGCAGCTGCAATCCTGCACAGAACCGCACGCGTTTCGTTGGTTAGACGGAATCCAAGTGAATGAGAACGGATCAGTTCTCTTCCGACCACGTGTGATTAATCGTAAGTGACGGTCTTGCAAAAGTACCTGGGGAAAACGAGTTACTCCTCGCCGGTTCAAACTGTCGGGTCTGGTCTATGTGCTGGAAATTTTGCGCGAAGTTTAAAGTTGGCATACTGGCTGGAACCGTTGTCGCTATGTTCGCAGGTATGCCCGCAGTTATGCCACCGCTTAACCCGCCAGGTAAACTGCTGAACACACCGGTGGCTTGACTGCCCACCGACGACAGGCTGGGCAAACTCGACCCTGCTCACAAAGAAAATTTATTACTCTGTTCATTCAAATATACTTAAACGCTAACTGCTTAAAAATTCAGAACGTAACTTCCATTTTCTACCCCGTCAAGAAATAAAATCGTAGCTCGAGTTTTGAAAAGAATAGGGAATGAAAGAATGCATCAAAAGTAGCCCGTGGCTATCGAATAAAGATCGGTGAAAAGAATTGTTACCCAGAGGCAGAAGAGAAGCGGAGTCTTGACCCAAGAAGGTCGACGTCCTCGGCACCGGTACGTAGTTGTAAGACTGCAATGGTCGAGGAACCGCTGACAAAGTTGCGATTGGCACAGTTGGCAAAGTAAGCTTTGGCTTTTCGGCGAGGGCGGCCAGGGACACGAAATTCAGAGCTTCCGGAGAAGATTGTTGGAAAGATAGTCCACGGTTCGATTCCTGCTGCAGGAGATAGTTCAATAGAGAACTCTGCAAGTTGCCCTTCAGAGTAGCCTTCGACTCCTCCGGAAGTACGTAGTTCACTACCGAGCCTGGGATCTTGTTATCCAGGCTGTTGCTCAGTACATCTGGTGACACGTAGTTTGACAGCGAGGTCTGCTCGTTGAGTTTGATCGGGCTTTTCGCCTGTTGCGACAGCAGATAGCTGAGCAAAGACTGCTGCAGTTTGTTCTTCATGCTGGAAGGGAAGTAGTAGGACGTAGGCGTCGTAAACTTGGACGATTGAAATTCAATCGGCGGAAGAGTTCTGGAAAGAAGGAAACACGTTATTCATAAGTTAACATTTTTATTCGAAATCCTCTGCTGTGAATTCTGTCCCTTCCAACGGGATTCATCCGTTTTAAAAGCTTATAATTTTTCGTGTGAAATCATTGGCACGTCCTCGAAGTCACATAAGTTTCAGAAACGAGTTTCGATGGCGGACAAAGATAGGTCACAATCACTGGAGCAAGTAATAGATCGTGACAGTGCCATTACGTACTGTCGTCCGAAGGATAAGAGCGGAGATTCCGTGGCCATGACAGGTAAGCTAGCCTCGGTGGTCAGAGTCGACTGTGGATCAACCAGGTTCGAGGACTGGTTCGTAGTGACCAATATGGCAGCGCTCGTGGTTATTAATGGACTATACGTGGTAGTAGCTTCCGCCAGCTGAAAGCGTTTTTTCTTTTAAAATACGTGTCAATTCCTGTTACGAAGAATCGTACATTTTTGAGGGGAGTAAAAGGAGTAAAACGTTGCGGAGAGATATTGTTAAGTGTGCGGAATTGAATACGACAGCGTGATATACGAAGAGTATATTTCGCTCACCGTATCGGATTTCACGGTTGGTATTGTCACCGTATGCGATGCCTTCAGCGAAGCCATTTTCGGCTCGGAAGTTGCAGACGTGTGAACTTGGGCGATAGCTGCAGCGACGGTAGACTGTTGGTGGGTGGTTGTAGGATCCATCGACGGTGTCATCGTCGTGGATGTTACGTCGTTCAATGGCAGAGCGTTCTCGTACGGTGAAATTGGCGGCACAGGAATATAACCGAGTCCATGGTTCCCTGAACAAACGAAGAAACCCCTTTGCTTCAAATGCTTCCATAAGTTACACCCTGAATTTGTAATAACAGTACGAATTTACCGTGTTTCAAGTAGTCGGAGTTTTCAGGCTGCTCTCTGTAAGAATTAATGGGTTTGTCGTACAAGTCCGCGAAGCGAAAGTCATCGCGGAAAGCTGGCTGCTGATAGGAGTATTGATCGTTCGCGGACTGATCCTGAAGAATCTGATCGTTCTTGAGCCTGGCACGATCTTTGAACGTCTCATCGGAGACAAACGACTGCCCCTTGAATTTCGTATCCCTTAAGAATGAGTCGTCAGCGTAGAAAGGTCGGCCTTTCGGTGACGAATAATCTCTTAACAACGACTGATCTCTAAGAGACAGCTGCTCGGAGAACGAAGACAATTCCTGTCGATAGGGTCGACGTCGATACGATTGATATTGTTGCGGCCTGAACGATTCCCGAAAAGATTGATGTTCGTGGAAGGGCGGAGCGTATCTGGTCTCCGGGTAAGGTGGAAAATCTTCCGAAGCACTGTTTCTTCTGTCTTTGTACGCGACGACAGCCACCGCCATCGCGACGACGATAACCTAAAGCAACGAATCAATTATACCGTCGTCACCGACAGACGAGCGCATTAGAAACAGACTCACCAGCTTCTTCATTTCACTGTTTGCAACGCGTCGTTCGAAAGGAACCGCGATAAGAAAATTAAAGATTTGCGCGAAACGATCGTCTGCGATCGATCACTATCGACGATTTTCTTTTATAGCTGCGAAACGAGAGGGAAACCTGTATCACGTGTCTTTTTCCGCTTCTTGTCGTGTGCTTCTTCCAGATCAGGTACGAAACTTGATCTGGTAAATCACGTATGTCGAACGCCTTTCTCCTTCTATGCCAGGTTCATTGCCAGATATACATTAGGTCAGACTGCTGTATATAGAGGTGTCTAGATAACTCGAGATTCAAGGTGAAACGTATTCTCGCGCTGACTTCGTTTCAGCAAATTGATTTAAATTTTCTGCGGCGAGAATTAAATATCGCAATTACCTGCGCTACTGCAGAATCATATGTTACACACGATTACCGTTGCGGTGCACATAACTTCCGCCTAATGATCCCCAAATTCGTTTTCTACTGGAATATTTATTGCCGCGATGTGTATCGAGCATACAACAGGCACGAAGCAGATAACAAGCAATTGTAAATATTCTAAAGATTATAGGTGGCAAGTAATTTACGGAAATTCATTTTCCAAAATTCAACGTCACGCTCCTGGCCGCTGTTTACGCTTCAAATATTTGTCGGAAGAATCCCATAATTCTGCGAGGGAATACAGCGTTGTAACGAACTGAATGCGGATTAAGAAGTATCGTTTAAAAATATTTGAACTTTATCGCGAAACAAAGGCAAACAGCGCGCGAATTAAGTCGAAAAACTTTCGCGTTACTGTCAAAGTTGTAAATTTAAATTTATCAAGACTTTAGCGGCGATCTCTTACAAAGAACAATTTTTCTTATCTCGAACAACCACGCTTCTACGGTAATTAGCAAATATTGCTTTGCACAGTTCGATCGATCTTCTACCTAAAACCTCTCGGTCATTTTTCTTCCTGAGCAGTGTCAGACTTTCGTTTAAGACTTAAAGATAGGGTAATAAATTCTCTCGATACTCCGAGTAAATACCTATCACTTATCGCTAAACTTTTCGCGAGATTTGCAAATGTGATCTGCGCAAGTTTTTCAACGACGTTACATCGAGCTTTCTTCGCAACGATTAATAATTAATGATCGTATACAATAATACTCGATACCGGTTGCAGTACAGTTTACGAGGAAGGAAGAAGCCAATCAGGTTCAACTTTCGCTCCTAATAAGTGTCATGCAAGCCTGACGAGAGAGAGATTGTAAATTTTATTCGCAGGTCAATAGGATCGTTTAGTGTAAATCGCGATTTACGGGCCACGTAATTGGACATTTTGATCGCGAACGAAATTGGCCGGCGAGCCTATTGTCTTCGAACTTGAAAGGCCTTTTATTGTTGCCGACGCGTATTGTGCCTGCTAATTAATGGCATACAGTGTGACCGAATGGGACCGTTACCGAAAAAGTTACCGTATCAGGCAACGACAGAATTTCACCCGACATTTCAGTAAACTAAAACTTTCTTTTCGGAAAGATTTTCATTCTCGACGCGTCGAAAATTTTATGCTCAAGAAACGAGAGGTATTTCAGAGGGACAATACAAAGATTAGGATAGTTTGTGGTTACTTCAAATCATTGACAACAAAGGGTACAAATCCACCCTCGTACAATTCATTATCCTTCTCAGCTAATTTTCTAGGGAATTTTTTCCTGCAGCGAATCAGAGATAAATTTGTCAAGTTTCTCTGCAAGTCTTTGCACATTGTGTTACATTACGGCGTGATGTTCGCGAGCGTCATTTCTCTTCGCAACTTCGTGATACCGTAATAAAATGTTCCTTGCATACGAAAGAAAGTTGTAAAAGAAAGTCACGTTTCTCGCCTGTTAACATCGAGATTAACTTCTGGAAGTTTTAATATTATTCAATTTACATTTGAATTACTGTAAGGGTATTTTTAATTTTGTATCTTGAGGCTTCTTTGAATATTTTATTTTTGAATAATGTCCATTAATCGATGAAATGAATTACGGGGGTTGAGCGAAGCTTATGTAAATAACGTGGAATAAAAAATGGTTTATGCCGACAGTATATGGACGTTGAGTTTATTCCAAGTCGCGAATCTAGTGAAATATTTCCCGGAAAATTGAAAACGTCCGTTCAGATAGAATTAATTAACTCTCGAATCTCCCGTTCGTCATAATTGCGCATTTTAACAGTTATATCGTTGGTATTATTAATTCGCTTTTTTCGATAACCAATATTCAAGATTATTAATTATTACGTTTCGTATTTCTTCCCATGCTGTGTCATCGCAAGCCAAATATCGCTATTTACTTGGTTTCTCGACGTGATCGAATCACTTTCTTCCTTTTTTGTTCGGCAATTAATCTGAAAGCTGCAAAACGATAAATCCATTCTGTCCGAATTTAAATATTTTTCATTTCGCTTTATTTGCTCGCGAAACTTTTATCAAATATCAAGCAGAAATGACTGCAATTTTCGTTTACACACTCCTGGGAGTTTACCATATTTTTCATGCGTGTTCGCTTCATTTTTGTACCATATTTGTCAGCTAAAATATCGGTTACGTTCCACGCTTGACGCAGAAGTAACGCGTCACAGATATCCAAAACAATCCGCGAGTGCGCAAATTTCATTCCTTCGAAAATAAAATTGATCCACAGTTCGATACGCGTTCTCCACGATGGAGGTGTCAGGCCGTTCATCCCACGCCGCCATTAAAGGCAACTAGGCCGATTCCATCGCATTCTCGAAGTATATTTTCTCCTCGAGTGCATGGACATGTAACAAAGTAACGCGTCAGGCAGGAAGAAATGATTGAATTAATTTGCTAGCTCGAGTGAGATATTTGTCGATGTTTTTCTCGACGAGCTTGCCAGTTTTTCGACGGGCAACTTCAAGAGCCCGTTCAAGTTCACTCGACTCGCCAAACTGGGCGAATAGCTGGTTCATTGCTGACCAAAGCCACTGCTTATTCCTTTACCAACCTGGATTATTGAAGAAACAATAATGGCTATTGTCGCGCGGGAAGTGCTTTCTTGCACCGCGGTCAATTAGTTAATTACTCAATAAAGGAGCAACGCCGGTGGCACAGGTATAACTTGTTGCGATCGTTTGCAGATTGCAAGAATCTCGAAATCATCTAAAATTTATTCGTGTCGATATTTCCGCAAAGATTTATCTCTTTGATTCCACTCTAATTTGTCAACCCTTCCCTGATCGATCATCGATTAGGAAATCATTTTCATAAACTTTTTACGACACCCGCGACGGGACGATTCATCTTCGTTCCCTGTAGCGACAAGCGTGCTCGAAAATATTTCTTCCGAAAAATATGTTGAAAATTTCAACTCGTAAATCGATCACATATTCGCTTCAAAATGAGATGCGTGAAAATTTCAAGCCAAAGCGACGAAATAAGTGCGGTAGAAGAAGTTACGGGCCAAGAATAGTGCACCGTTTGTGGCTTTGTTGCACTACTTTACGAAAGTTAAAGCAACAGAAGCTAAAGAGACAAGCGAAGAAGCTTTTGTACAGAAAAGTTTTTCCATTTATACGTCCTCTCAGTCTTTGTCGGCATAGTCGCACGAACTCGACGATAATAGCTTCTTCGGTTTCCATCGCCGCTTTTCTCGCCTGCACCATTTATATTCGGAATTCTAACTTTATAGCTGTGATACATAAATTTACCTTCTGATGTACGGGTAAAAAGATTCGTTCGACCGTTAAGAATGACGATTCACTAATTCCAGTGATATTTGTCGGTGTGATAAAAAGGTAAGGTAATATTTAACCTCTTCCTTTGACGAGTCTCACTAGGGATGCACTTGTAGCTCAAATGTGACCTTACACGAATTTTGAACACTCTTCTACTTGAAATTTTGGTCGCATTATCAAGGATATTATAAGATGCATTATCAAGGATCCTTGAAAATGTTGACATCATTTTAATTTTCTTTGTTCGTTTTGATGTTACAACCCTGAATAGTTAGTCTTGACAAGTTTTAAACACTCTTTAACTTGAAATTTGAGTCCAACTAAAAGTTGCATTATCAAGGATCCTTGAAAATGTTGACATCATTTTAATTTTCTTTGTTCGTTTTGATGTTACAACCCTGAATAGTTAGTCTTGACAAATTTTGAACACTCTTCAACTTGAAATTTGGGTCCAACTATAAGTTGCATTATCAAGGATCCTTGAAAATACTCATATTTTAACTTTCTTTGTTAGCTTTAATATTATAACCCTGGATAGTTAGTCTTGACAAATTTTGAACACTCTACTACTTGAAATTTGAGTCCAACTAAAAATTGCATTATCAAGGATCCTTGAAAATACTCATATTTTAACTTTCTTTGTTAGCTTTAATATTATAACCCTTAATAGTTAGTCTTGACAAATTTTGAACACTCTTCAACTTCAAATTTGAATCCAACTATAAGTTGCATTATCAAGGATCCTAGAAAATACTCATATTTTAACTTTCTTTGTTAGCTTTAATATTATAACCCTTAATAGTTAGTCTTGACAAATTTTGTACACTCTTTAACTTGAAATTTGAGTTCAACTAAAAATTGCATTATCAAAAATCCTTGAAACTACTCACATTTTAATTTTTCTTGTTCGTTACAACCCTGAATAGTCTTGACTAATGCATCTGATAATTAAATGACGCGGAAGGAGTTAAACGGAAATTTTATTCGAGAATCGCATACGACGATTGTAGAATTTGCAGCGGGACCGTGTTGCTTCACGGCTGTGCCCTACGGGAACGAATTTCTGCACTGCTAGGTATACGTTCAATTTAAACAGCTACAGCTTCCGGTTACACGTGCGGCGTAGGATCTTCGATGCGTGCAGCGGCAACAACCCTCCTATTATTCCTAATATTCGGTTAATAGCGAGACATACGAGAAATAACGATACGTTTACGGGTTCGTGAAGTCGTGTTACTTGAAAAATAAAGGACACCTGTTACCGATACGTTTAAACGGAATT